CGCCGGCGGCCGCCCTGCCAGCCCTCGTCCTCCTCCAGGTAGCGGTACAGGGGCGGCGTGAGCTCCTCCTTCCTCCCCGGGGGCTGGACGTAGGCTGGGGCAACATGGGCAGGTCTGCAGGTCAGGGCTTCTTCATAGGTGGGGATGGCGCTGGAGTCCCAGGTGCTGCAAGGGAAGAAGAAACCCAGCAGTATCCCTTGTCAACTGGAGCATTCCAGCACCCATCAACCAGAGCATCCCAGCACCCATCAACGAGAGCATCCCAGTGTCCCATCAACTGGAGCATCCCAGTGTCCCATCAACTGGAGCATTCCAGCACCCAGTAACTGGAGCACCCCTGTGCCCCTTCAACCAAAGTATCCCAATGCCCTGCCAACTGCAGCCTCCTGGCATCCATCAACCAGAACACCCCATCAACTGGAGCATCCCCTAGTATGGTGGACATACTTGTACCAGGGATGGCACATGGGCAGATTTTGCATGCCCAAGGTCAAGGGAAGACCACGTCAGCCACTTCCCAGCACCAGGAGGGCGGGGAGCTGGGCAGGAGGAAGGGCACCATCCATCAGACCTTGTGACAAGGCAACGTCGCCCAGTTCCCATTGAGCTGATGAACCTCTCATCCAAGAAGAGGAAGGGCAGCCTGGCAAGGTAGCCTCAAAGAGCTGCCACCTCCGGTGCCAAGGGCTACAACTGCAGGTGAGAATGATGGCAAAGCAGCAGAGGTGCTGGCCCTCAAGACATCTGCCCCTTCATTCTGCACCATGCTGCTTCCCACAGGCAGGAGAGCATCCTCATCATCTGCCTAACCCCGACCTCACTCCCGAAGCACAGACGTTGCCGGCAGCCAAGTGAGCGGTTCGGCACAAGCCACCGGGCGAGAGCCGGGCTTCCCGGTTCAATGCGGTCGCACCCCACCCGCCGGAGCCCTCCACACGCCGGCCAAGCCTGGTGCCACTTCCAGCAACGCTTTGCTGAGCAAACACAGTTTGTGTACAGGCAAAACCTCCACTCAACCTTTGCCCCGCGCACAGCCCCGCTCAGCACCCTACGAAACGGTGGTGCAGTCCCAAAGACGGGGAGGCTTCGGAAGCAACACGCCCCCCGCATGCTTCTGCTGACGAAAACCCAGCGAGGAAAGCTCAGGCGGGCTGCGGGTGTTGGAGGGGCACAGCTGCTCCAAAGGGAAAGCTGCGATGCTCCGCAGGGATCCATCCCAACATCAACAGCCCCCTGTCCCAGACCTACCCCCCCGGGCACCCGCGGCTTTTGCCAAACGGCCTCAGCTTGCGAAGGGATGCTGCCTCGGAAAGGCGGAGAGGGTGGTTTCTCCCAGCACAGGATGTCACGCTGCCAACCCTCTCCGGAGCAGCATTCCTCTGCTTTGGAGGGTTTTGCTGTGCGAATGCCAGCGTAGCTGGGGCTGCAGGAGCTGCTGCAGCACGAGCAGTGCTGGGGCAATGCCCTCCCACCCAGCACAGCACCCGGGAGCTCAGGGAAGGGGACATTTCCTGTGGGGACACAGCAAAGTCCTCCATGGGAGGAGGAAAACCCCTCAGTCTTATGTTCTCCCGTTCAGATGGGCACTGACACCCCCAGAGAACCGGGACCACGCCTCCCACCCTGACTGAATTTTTCTGGGCTTATGTTCTTAAGAGTTTCTTTTAGTGCTGCTTTTCCCCAGAGCCCGATTTGTGCCGGAGCCAAGGTCTTTGCTGTGACCCCATAAAGCAGCGCTGGGAAGGGGCGGCTGGCTCAGCTTCCACAGCGGTCTCTGGAAAAAGAAAAACCCTTTTGATCAAAAAACTTTTAACTCAAGAAGTGGGTATGAATCTCAGGCTGGGGACCCGACAAGCAGCAGTGGTGTTTGGGGGGGTGAGGGGTCTTTCCACACCCCAGAACAGGCTTCGTAGAGGGACCCTCCACCTGCACTCCCATCTCGATGCCAATCCAAGGATTATTTCCCTCTTTTTTTTTTTTTTTAGCTTGCTTTTAACATAGGTTTTGCTTCCCTTAAAGACACCACAAACCCCATCGTCTTTATGGAGCGCTGCAGACCCATCGCACCGGGGTCTGGATGACCCCTCCCACCCCCAAAATCCAGGCGTTTTGCCAGAAAACCAATGCAGTCTTCTGCTCAGTGGCTCTGCTAAGGAGATGTCTGCCTTGGCCAGTGATGGCCCCTCAGGGCAAGGGGAGCCG